CCTGGGCTGGTCTGCCCAGTGACTGTGATGAACCTCAGCCACCATCGTGCTCTGCCTCACTAATCAATGGGACAAGTAATTCGGCTCCACGAGCTGGAGAAGATGAGACGTCACCTGGTGGCCACGGCTCGTCAGCATCCAGTCCCTCCGTGGTCCGGGATGATGAACAAACTATCGAAATTGCACTCAAGAGCTATAATCACGGGAAGCGTGACCGAGCCCCTCCCGTCACATGAATCACACTAAGAAGCACACAATGGCCTCTTTCCTGATGGGCCAATTGTCTTGGTTTGGTGTCTTGGCCCAGCAGCTGGGAGGATGGGAGCACAAGCATTGATTGTTGAGAAGGCCATCTGTGCGATTTGAATACAAAGTGATCCTTTCGGTTCCCCATACACCCTTTGAGCCCATTCACGTGCTTTGTTATGTCTCGGGACTCTGGGGTTTTTGAAACTCTCATCTCTCCTGTAAGTCATCGTGCCTGGCTGTCTGCTGGCGGGGCCTTTTAGCCCTCTTGGAATCGGTTCAACAGGCACCTTTTGGAAATAATGACATTGATTCGTGTATGTCTCATTTTTAATTCTTTATTTAATTTTTAAATTTTTTTTATAACTTCTACCACCAGAGCCCTCCTTCGTCACACAAGGCACCAAGACACCAAGAGGGTTCTGCAGAGTGGGGGTGTGGATATCACTGTATTGTGAGGGGGTTTCTCCAGTGAGGGCTTTGTAGTGAGAGTGCTGGCTCTGGAGATGGCAACTGGGGTCCCCTACTGTTATCTCCCCTAAGCCTCCCAGCAGCCTCCTTTTATGGAAGAAAAAGCCAAGTGAGATCAAGTTCCCCCAAAGTGACATGATTTATCCTAGGCCACACAGCTGAGCTAGTCCTCAACTAAAGGCCTTTCAGCCCAATCCATTGATCTTTCCAGATGCCAAAGTTTGCTTTTCAGGGATAGAAGTAAGAGAAATCAACCCTTTCCTTCAGGAAGAGGCAAGAGGGAGGTATCTGGCATATGAGAAGGTGTAACTCCTCAAGTGGTTTTGTCCTAAAAATGAGATATCTTATTCTCCATCCAGCAGATAATGAGCTTCCAGAACTCATTTTCCTGGGGGTGGTACGGGCTGAAAAAGATAGCCTTGTACAAGGTTTAATAAAAGTCTGATATGTAAGTGAAGGTTGAGATCCTCAAGACAGGCCCAGAGGACCAGGATTGGTTAGGTTATGCCTCTGAATTCGACATTCGTGGGGGTCAGCAGACACACTCGGGGGTACCGGCAGCAGTGAAATGCTAACCAAAGACAGAAAGGGATAGCCTCAGGCTCCGGCCTGCGTGGACGGAGTGTAAGTTCTAGAAGAAGGCCTTTGATTTGAGCCTAGTTGGTGGTAGGGAGACAGCCTGCTTCTGCTGATGCCACCAGGTTTTGTGCCCAGGTTTTGCTAATTCACTGGTTTCGCATCTCAGCCCCAAGTAACTTGGAATCAAAAGGATGGGATCTCAGAGAGCTCAGATATCCCTCTCGAGAAGCAGACTCATTTCCCTAAGAAGCTCAGCTGTTTTCCAGGTGGCCCCCAGTTCTCTTCTTTTGTCTTCTCTCCCTGCTTCCCTGCTGGATGCACCATGGAGATGCTGCTTCTTTCGCAGTCTTGCTCTTGGTCTCAGCCCTCTTGCTATTCATTTTTAGCTGCTTACGAAGACAGCCAACCCTACCCTCCCTCCTGCCTTGACCTTCTCTTCCCTTAAGCCTTTCTCTTAGTAGGGCTATCTGCCAACCTCCAAATTATTCCCAGAGTTTTGGTTTAAGGGTAGAATGACAACACTAGGTAATTTGATGAGCTCTTATACGATGAGCCAGGCATAGAGCCAAGCTTTTGACCTACACGGGCTCGTCTAATTCTCACTACGGCCTTTCGAGGTCTGCGATCCCAGTTATACAGTTACTCTCATTATCCCAACTTAAAGAGGAAGACACTGAGTCTTAGAGCAGTGAAGAAACTTGCCCAAGGTCACACAGCCAGTGGGCCGGCTAGGATTAGAACCTGGGGCAGTCTAGCTCCAGAGCACTTGCTTTTCCTTATCCTGCTCTGCTGCTTTCCTGCACCCAGAGACCATCCACTTTGGGTGGGGCCACGGAGCTGGACAGCTTAAAGACCAGGGTCAGAGAGGGGGACACTATCTTCAAAATAAAGCCCAGCCCTCTGGGGCCAGCAGATGGCGTAGCGGTTACATCACTAGACTCCCACATGGTTGACTGTGGTTTGAATCCCAGATTGGGATTCTGGGAGGTGACATGAAACTGGTAGCTTGAAACTCATGCTGGGCACGTTTATGTGTGTGCCCCAAATCCCAGGAGACATAAAAGAGAAGAGATTGTGGTATGGCCATCCTTTCTGGGGGGTGATTTCTCACTTTCCCTCTCTCTTGGTCTCTCTCTCTTTCCAGTGAGCACAGAAAAGCCTAGGCCTCAGCTGGGCTTTCTAGGCTCTCCCTGGTTACACTACATTCCCAGTCAGAAGCTAGGTATTTTTCTCTTCTCTGGACTCACTGTGCTCATTCGTGTTTAGGGTGTTCTTTCTGCCTGACGTTGCCTGTCCTAATTTGCTGTCCATGCCAGACTCAAGATCTTCTCTGAGACACCTTCAGGCTGGCATCTAAAGTCCTCACTTCCTTGTTGGCATTCCCATAGTATTTTGTTCATCCTTAGCGCAGGTTGTTAGGCAGCTATATCTCACCTCCAAGGCTGTGAGCAGCTTGGAAGCAAGTGGCGGTCGTTCTTTATTTGCCTGTGAGGCTGTTCCTGCCTGTTCCACAGTAGGTGCTCAGTAGATGCTGTGGAATTGAGCTGGGTTGTCCAACTCAGTCCTCCTTGTTTCAGAGGTGGAGATCCTGAGCCAGGGCAAGAATTGGTTCCAGTTTTTCATCATAATCACTTGATGTGTCTGTGATCGGTCCATTGGAAGAGTTCTGTGAGGGATCCCAGAGGGGAGAATGGGCACAGAGCAAACCTCAGGTCAGGCTTCTGATAACTGGATAAAGAAAGAAAGAGAACAGACACTTTAGTCTTCACATCGAAACTATGTGTGTGGACATATGCAAATGTTGTACCTGGTTAATATTCATCATGTACTTGTGACACATACGTATACTTGTATGTCTTATTCAGGAAGAAGTCCTCACCGTGGACACCAAACTATGTGTACACTCCTACCTTCTCCCCACCTCCTCCAGCCAGGGAGCTCTCCAACCCCGGATCTTCCCCATCCATCCTTCCTTTCTTTCTGCTCAGGTGGTTGAACACATACTGGACTATCATTTGAACTTCACATGTATGCATACATGCTCTTATGTGTGCATACATGCTTTCTCTAACATTGCCAACTACAGCCTGTGGCATCAGGCTAATTTTCAAGTGGAAGTGGTAATCAATATTTTAGTTTCCAGTGTGGTCAAAAGTCTCCTTCAGCCTCGTTCCCCCGAAGTTGCTGGTGAATTTTTCAG